GAATACCACGCGTGGAATTGAACGCGTGGAGAATACCACGCGTGGAATTAGAACGCGTGGAGAATACCACGCGTGGAATAGATACGACAGATGGAATTAGAAGTCGTTGCGACGCAGCGGGTGGAATTAGGGCGCGTAGAGATACAATGCGTTGCTATACCACGCATGAAGTTAGAACATATGAGAATACCACGCGTGGAATTAGAACGCGTGGCGAATACCACGCGTGGAATACGCAGCGGGTGGAATTAGGGCGCGTAGAGATACAATGCGTTGCTATACCACGTGGAGAATACCACGCGTGGCAAATACCACGCGTGGAATTAGAACGCGTAGGGACACCACGCGTGGAATTGGAACGCGTGACAAATACCACGCGTGGAATTGGAACGCGTAGTGTTACCACGCGTGGAATTAGAACGCGTAGGGATACCACGCGTGGAATTAGAACGCGTGGCAATACCACGCATGGGAATTAGAACGCGTAGGGACACCACGCGTGGAATTAGAACGCGTGGCGAATACCACGCGTGGAATTAGAACGCGTAGGGACACCACGCGTGGAATTAGAACGCGTGGCGAATACCACGCGTGGAATTAGAACGCGTAGGGACACCACGCGTGGAATTAGAACGCGTGGCAATACCACGCATGGAATTACAACACATGGCAATACCACGCATGACAATACAACGCATTAGAGACACAGTCTTTGAGACACACACCAAACTAAACAAGATGGCCGCAAAAAACAAAATGGCCGTACAAACCAAGATGGCCGAAAGCTCCGCGAAATTTTCATTCCCAAAGAAAACGATCGAACATGTAAAAAGGCTACAGCTGACAAATCATTTCTACGGAGTTGTCTTTCGGTTTGATCGCAGTGTTCGCAGGCTACCGGCGATCCTTGTCGATAATCGCTTTATAATCGCCGCTTTGAAGACGAATAATTACGCGACCGAGCGGGCTCCCCCGTAATTAACCGAGCCGCGTCTGTCTTCGTGGATGAAACAACGGATACGTAGACTGCAGACGCGAAACGTGTTTCGCAACGAGTCGTTATTTTTGTCGGAATTGCCGTTAACACGGGACGGAATCGCGAATTTTGCCAGCTCGACAGTCTAATGAGAGGTTCTGCTAACTCCGTGTGTTCGACTTTTGGGGGAGGATCGTTTC